AAGTTTTTACTCTTAAAAAATGGAGCCCAGGCTAGAGAGATGGCTCAGCGGTTAAGGGCATTGTCTGATCTTCCAGAGGATCCAGGTTCAATTCCTAGCCCCACATGGCAGCTAATAACCATCTGTAACTCCAGTTCCAGGGTATCCAGTGCCCTCTTCTGACCTCTATGGGAATTGCATGACATGGGTGCACTTACATACATGCAGACAATACACTCATACACATAAAATAAAAATAAATTTTAAAAAATTTAAATGTAGCTCATGTGTTTTGTCACATAGCCTAGCTTCTTTTTAGCTTACTGTGATTATCCAAAACATGTTTCCAAATCATTACGTACAGGTCTGCTTCAATTTTTACATGGCTGTGTGATAGTCTACCGGTTGTTCATTCCAGCTGGGAGCATGCAGTTTATCTTGTTTGGGTCTCTACTAGGACTCGTGAAGGTTGCACACTGCAGAAGGTGCCTTTCAATGGGATTCTCTACGCACAGATGCTGGTGTTTCTGAAGGCTAGTCTCAGAAGTGGTACAAGAATGATAAATTTAAGTTGCCACAGCTACCACCAAAGTACCCTGCAGAAGAGGTAGGAGTGTCCTTTCCCACCTTCTAACAGTGCTAGAAGTTTCAGCTTCCATTTAGGAGACATTCATAGAAGAGCCGTGAGCATCACTGGCCGCCCCATCTCATGCTTCTAGCCACAGACTGAACTAGTCTTAATATTTGGAGTGGAAGCGGAAAAGAGGTGACATTTTCTGCCAGTTGTCCTTTGTTAGTGGAACCGAGCATCCTTCCTGGGCACACTACCCTGTAGGCCCTTCTCTTTGAATTGCTTGTTTGTGATATATGCTCTTTTCCTCCTGGGTGATTTGTGGGTTTCCCATTTTCCTTCTAGGAGGTCTTGATTCCATTAAGTCTTGATAGATGTGTGTGTTACTAACATCGCCTTCCAACCTGACTTTATCTTTGACTTTCTTTTATGCTGTTTTGTGTTCCTAAGTGGAAAAATGAGTGCATGCCTCTCCTCTTTGGAATTCTCATTCCAAGCACTACCTCTCAACTCAAAGATGTCCCCCAGGCTTCCCTAAATACGTGGAACTTTTCATCCCATGGGGCTGCTGTGCTGTTTGTTCCTTTTTCAGCTCTTTTTTTGTTTTTTGTTTTTTTGGGTTTTTTTGCTCTGTAAGGATTTACTGGCAGCTGAGCCTTCGTTTTTCTTTGCATGTATTATTTTTCTGCTGACCTGATCCAATCACAACTTGCTGTTTCTTATCTTTCATGGTAGAAAGGCCAACAGCAGAACTTGTCAGTATCATGGATGAAAGGAATGCAAATGGGTACATGAGGGCAGCTGCATGAGGGCAGCTGGGATGTCTGGTGGGGCTGCCAGATGAATGTAAACTGGGGTCTTAAAGGAGAGGCCTTCCACCTACGGGGGTGCATGCAGCCTTCAGCTGGTGACTTGGAAGGTGACGTTACATGTAACTGTGCTCTTCGTTGCATTATCCTGTCCCGTTTCCCCCCTGGTGCCACCTACAATCACAAGAGCCCTTCCTCCAGTCTCTGCTGATCTCATCATATGTACATCACCCAATTCTGATAAATCTGTGAAGCCCTGATCGTATTCTGTCAGCAACTGCTTTCCCAACCACTGGGTTTGCCTGGTCTTGGATGCTCTATACTCAGCATTACAGCAGCTTTTGCACCTATCGGTCTCTCTTCTCACCTTCTCCAAAGGGGTAGCACTGTCACCCTGAGATGTGATCCATAAGATCACCAACTTTACCAATACCGCAATGCAGAAATTTTTATGTAATCATTATTGAAAGAATTTATAAAACTTTTTGTTTAAAAGTTTTGAAATGGCAGTTGGATATGAGTTGACGTTTCCCTTTGATTACCTGTTTGAGACCTGCCTCTGTAACAAGTGGGAGAATGCCCGTGATCCATTGCTGCTGCCCATCACAGATACAGAAAGGTATTCTCTAGGCCCATGATAATGTTTGTGGGTGCCTGATAGCTTAGTCTAAAAGCAGTATTTACCTAATGGAGAAACCCTGGAGCCATTTCTAAGATCAGAAAGAAGACAAGAATGCCCGCTATCTCCATTATATTGAGACATTACACTAGAGATGCTAGTCAGTGCTATTGAATAAGAAATCCTAGCGGCAAATGATTATATAACAAAAGGAGAAACTGCTTTATTTTCAGACTACATAAGACACCTGCAAAAGCCTCTGAATCTAGACTAAAGCTTCTGAAACAATGAATTCAGTGACACAGCACAGTGCAATGCTAATATACAAAAATCATAAACTTTCATGTGTGCTAACAATGAACAGAAGGTATAATTGTGGAAAAATCCAATTTACAACAGCATCAATTAAGAGTACATAATTTGGATAATGTAATAAATGTAAAAGTACAAGTATATATGAGGAAAATTTTTGAACATTTCTGAAAAACTCAAAGAGATGATGAAAACATCCACTGTGCTTGGGTAGGACAAATCAGCACTCTAAAGATGTCCTTTTTCCAGAGTTAATTTACAAATTTAGTTCAAATTATTAGCAATGCCATCAAACTATTTTATGACCTTAGACAATATGATACTATGGTTCATCTGGAAAACTGAATCTTTAAGAGTAGCCAGAAAACACGTCAGGGGAAGCTCAAGCAGATGTTCAAACACACAGTAATGCCTCTGGGGTTCAGATGCAGTGACTCTGAGGCTGGGATGGATAAGTGACAGGTGCAATAGAAGGGAAAATTCATAGTTAGACCCAAGCATCTATGGGGATTTACTGCATGATGAAGATGGCATCTCAGATCACTGCACTAGAACAAATCTCAGTGAGACAACTGAGGAGTCACGTAGACAAAGACATACATACATACATACATAGATGTGTATCTCACACCCTATGGAGGAGTAACTCCAGGTGTCTAAGCCATCTACTTGTGAAAAACAAAACAAAGTAAACATCAGAGGAAAGCTAAGCAAATCTGCTTTAGCCTCTGTGTGGGAAATGGCTAATTGTTGCTCAGACTCATTGTAAGCAAACTCAGGAGACAACATGGGAAAGCATAGCCACCAATCCTTCCATCCACAATGTAAAGACATCTCCTAAAAATTGAGACATGGCTTCCTATAATCCCATCACTTGGGAGGTGGAGACAGGAGGATCATAAGTTCAAGGTTATCCTTGGCTAAATACCAAGTTTGAAGCCAGCCTGGGATATAGGAAACCCTATTTCACAAACACAAAAAAATTGAGCAACAGATGACCAACATCCCAACAGGACAATGGGGAAGAAGCATGAACAGGCAATTCACTGAAAATCAAAATATAAAAGCACTTTTAAACATGAAATAATGTTCAAGCATAACCATAATTACAGAAATGCAAATTAAGTCATCTTTTCTCACCTGCCAACCTGACGAAAACCAATGTGACAGCACATTCTGTTGGCCAGGACTGTCGAGAAACAGACCTTTCTGGCATGCAAACGTGCAGCCCTTCTTGGGGGAGTTTTGTCCAAATAGAAGTATATCTGTGCTTGACTCAACAATCCCACTTTTAAGCAACTGCCCTGCAGATACACCAACAATGGGAAAAAACACACACGTGCTGGAATGTCCACTGCTTCTAACTTTACAGCGCTGGAAACACCTTGCTCTTCACACATGGGGGCTGGTTGAATAAACATGGTGTATCAGCACCACCCAGAGCTAGGCAGTTCTGAAAAAGAACCACAGAAGAGCTAGCTCTATGAATAAATCTGTAGGAATCCTATGACACATTCTGTGTGTTTGTATGTGTGTATACACATGTACATGTATGCACAGATACACGTTTGTGTGCAGGTATGTATGAACATGGACGTACATGTGTGTAGAGGCCAGAGGAGAACCTCAGGCATTGTTCCTTGGGTGCTACTCACCTTGTTTGTTTGTTTGTTTGTTTGTTTGAGACCAAGTCCCTCACTGACCTGGAATTCACCAAGTAGTCTAGGTTAGTTGGTTAGCAATCTGCCTGTCTTTGCCTCTCCAGTGCTGAGATTATACATGTACAACGCCATGCTCAGCTTGGTTGGATCACCCCAGTTCTAGGATCAAACTCAGGTTCTTGTGCATGCAAGGCAAGCACTTTACTGACTGGGCTATCACCCTGGCCCCCAGGACATATCTGAGTGTATTAAGCAAAGCTCAGAAGAGCATATACTATATACTGCTCTTGGGGAAGAAGAGAGCCTCAGCAAATATACACATACCCTCTCATTGTGCACAAAAAGCATAGCAGGATGAACCAGAAACTAGAGGGATTGATTGCTACTTGAACACAGTAAAAGAAGGAAGAGGGACATGTGATATTTAAGGTTCCCTTCCGACTGTGTGGAGGGCTATGCTGGACTTTGTGGCTCCATCACAGTGAGCCCTAAGTCCGACCACATGTGGAAAGGTCGATTCTAGGCATTCAGCAGGATGAAAGGAGGGTTTCTGCTTAACCACACTTGCCCTCAAGATATGGAAAACTTGCACCCCTGCAGGAGTTCCAACCAACTGCTGATGTTCTACAACCTTACACTGAGAGGGACCCCAGAGGCCAGGCCCTTCCTAGTCCTAACAGATGACTTTGCTGATCAGTGAAGACTGCTTTAACCAGCTCCTTCCCATCCAGAGCACTAGATCTCACTGCTGAATCAGCATGACCATGATCAGCATCTCCTTCTAAGCCTTAAACACCTTGATGTCCTCAACATGGGAAATAGTAGCAGTCTTCACAAATTAAGAACTTAGGCTTCAGTGTTTTTGTTTATTCTTTTTTCTTCTGCCTCTTGATTTTTGGTCAACAGAGAAATAAACCATTTACATGATCAGGAAGACCTATTTAGGCAGTGGATCTGTATTTTCTGTTACACGAATAAAATCCTGGGTACTTCCCCCACTTAGCCAGTTATATTGGGTGTGATGATGATGCTGGTATATCTCATTTCAGGAATGACAATACCTGAAGAAGATGCTGATGTAGGACAAGGCAGTAAATATTGCCTTGTGGCAATTGGGAGACTCCAGGTAAGCAAAACCCCTCAGTCTTTTTCATCTCTGATGAGGCCTTGCTATTGCACAGGGGAAGAGGCTGTGGGTTTGAATATCTGTTCATTTGGAACTCCTATGTGCTCAGTATTCATATTGGGTTTTGTGTCTTGCTCTGGGACAAAGCTAAGGCTAAACCAAAGAAGGAAGGGCACCATGACTGATTCACTGAAGAGGTCTTGCTGTGCGGAGGGCTATCAGCCCATCCCCCACCTATACCAGTTACTGCAGAGCAGAGTTCTGACAGAAGTCACATCCTTCAGTGTCTCCCCAAGGTCTTGTGGGACAAAGGCCAAAGTCATCATCCCAACCTCCTCTCTTCCCTTCTTCCTGTCTCACCACCTTCTCTTCCCAAACAACACTGTTCCCCTTTCAGGAAGCTACCTCACAGTTCACCTCTGTGGGTATTCTTGGGCTGTTTCTTCACCTGGTATTTCTTAGTTGCCCTTTTGCTTTCAAAATTCCTTTTTCTCCTGTGTACTTCCTCTCTTCTATCCTTTAAGACCTGACTGAAAGACTGCTGATTTGCCTCAATTAAAACTAACTGTCCCCAACCACAGTGTTCCCTCCTGGTAGAGTTCTCACCTCAGTTTCATTCACTGTGTGTTTACTGTGGCTAGCTGAAGTCATGCTCGTGCCTGGTAAGGCCCTCTGGGACAGAGACATGTCTTTCATCTTGTAAAAATGTAATCGCTCCATGTCTGATGCACAGTGACCACTCTGTCAGCTGGTCCATTCGTTCTTCCTTTGATACTGAGGATTTTTCCAAACTGATGAGGAGTATAGCAGACAGCCCAGAGGCTCATGCTTCATGTCCCTGGTCTCCTAAGTCTAACCATTTTCAAATGAATGAGCAATTTCATTCACATAAGACAAACATTGGGTCTTCCTCACTGGTGTATAAAATAAGAATATGGGTAAATTCAGTCCAGAAATACATAGTTTCCAAATCTCTAAACCAATTACAGAGGCTCATTTGCCATTTTCAGTAAAGGGGAAAGGCCTGAGAGGGAAAGGGTAGTAACCCTTCTGAGCATCAGCCATTGCCAGACATGGTGCTGAGGTTTAACAGGCAGTATCTCCTTTGGCTTCACACGTGCCCTATGGAATTACAGATTTCATTATTCCCACTGATTGATAAGGAAACTAAAGCTCAGAAATGTATGCCCCATCATTAAAGGCATCACAAGAGCTATTTGACCCCTTCACACACATCTTCCCAATGACACAGAAGGATGTGTGGACATCAGGCCACATGGCTTATTTGTCTCTGCCTTCATCAGCATCTCTTATCAACCTTCCTACCATCTACTCCAGGTTACCAGCTCTCCCGTGTGCATGGACATGAGTGGCATGTCAGTGCCCACGGAGTTCCTGTCACGGCATAACTCTGACGGGATCATCACTTTTGTGGATCCAAGATGCATCAGTGTGATTGGCTACCAACCCCAGGTCAGTGGATAGCTTTGAACTCCTGACAGATGGCTAGAGATTTAACTGTCCTCAACATGCTATTTATCTCATTTGTTCAAGATACAGCACAATGACAGGCCTTCAGCAAGCACAGTTATGGTATGATAGCCTCATTTTGCCACAACAGTTTCCACTCTTAACAGTTTCGGTTTTCGTAGGCAGCACGTCTGTCCTTGGGCTTTCTTTGGATGTTTTTAAAAATATGTTGATTACAGTTTGCCTCTCCAAGACAAACAGAAATAAAATTGCATTCTGAAGCCGCTGATCTAGCGCCAAGCAAAATTAGAAATCGGTGAGGACTGAGCCAGGGGATGGATGCAAGGAAGCCAGCTCCTCCACAGACAGAGGGAGGAGGATCACATGCTTATACCTATGGTAGGCAGGCTAAAGGAGGGGGCTTCATAGGCATGTAAACAACACCTTTGCCTCCCAGAAAATGGATAAGAAAAAACTGGAAAGTGAATCCCAGCGCTCAGGAGGTAGACACAGGCAGATCTCTGTGAGTTCCAGGCCAGCCTGATCTGCATAGTGAGTTCCAGGCCAGCTGGATCTGCAAAAATAATGCGAATATAATACTCATGTATAAAATTCTCAAAAAATAAAAAGAGGGGCTATTAATTCAGTGGTTAATAACACTGGCTTCTCTTGAAGGGGACCCTGGTTCGGTTCCCAGCACCCACATGGCAGCTAACGAGTTCCAGGTTACATGACAACTTCTTCTGACCTCCATGGGCATTGCATGACATGGATACACTAACACATGTGCAAGCAATACACTGTCTCAAAAAGAGACATAAATTAAATAAATAAATAAATAAATAAATAAATATAAATAAATAAAATGGAAAGTGGGCTTTGGGGTTATTAAAGCTGACTGTTTTCTTTAGGACCTTCTGGGAAAGGACATTTTGGAATTCTGCCACCCTGAGGATCAGAGCCACCTGCGGGAGAGTTTCCAGCAGGTACTGCTCACAATTATTGCTACTAACACCCAGTAAGGCACCTGGGGGCATGGTGAGAGGGATGGAGTCCTGCTGTGAGCCACTAGGCTGCAAGTGCCCTCCTTCAACACCAGTCTTCCCTGTTGGGAGGGAGCTCAAGGCATAAAGGCAAGACACAGGAGGAAGTCATTGTTCTGTGGCAAAGGAAGAGGAAGATGGTTCCTGAAAAGAATCTCCCCAAGCCCTGAGGCTGGAGAGGGTGACTCAGGAGAAGAAGCAGGAGCAGTTACCCAGGGGAGAGAGATAAGCACAAAATAAGACAGCCTGCCAGAGAGATGGGACCATGCCAGAGATGCAGGTGTGGCCTGCCAGGAGGATCTTCAGCAGCTGTTGGGGTTGGCAAGGAGGAAGTGGCAGGTCATGCTGAGCCTGACCAGGCCAGGGGCCTCCTGTGCCATGCTAAGGGGTCTAAGTTCTCTCTCTGGTCACTTAAAGGTAAATGGGGGTTCCTTTAAGGAAGTAAGCAGAATAATATTTTGAAGAACCACTCGGGAACCCCACGTGCACAAATAACTGAAAACAAAGACGAGTCAAGAGACCTTTAAAATGAAGGGTAAGAGGCAATGAGTCCCAGAGATGGGCAGGAGCTGTGTGAGTTAGACATGGGAAGCAACTTGAGGGGAGCGATAGAGATGGTGAGGAAATGGGAGCTTGGCAGGACAGGCACCCTAATACTGGTATCCTGCACACTGTTTCTGTTTGCTAAGTGCCTGGGCTAGGCACACAGCATGGAGTCACAGGAAGAAGGAATGTGGGCTTCTCACTGAAGCAAAGGCCTGGAACACCATACCATCAGTAAAAACCGAATTCAGAGTGTGGCCTGCCAGCACCGGACAGATTAGGGTGAGGGGGGGCAGGTACTCCTCTCTCCACTAGACTTTTATGTACTCCAGGAAAAGGAGAGAATGGTCATTATAAGAAAATGGCTTTCAGTCACTTTCCAAGAGGGGGAAATAGGCTGTCATCCATCTCCAGTATGGATTTAACATTTTGCCTTGGGGTATCTCAGGCCTAGTCCATGGAGAGCCTCTCTATCTGCAGAGACATAGTCCTCCAGTTTCATACTTATGTGGCCAGAACTCTAGGGCTCCACTTCTCCCTGTTCTCAGTTCTGTTCTTCTGTCATCTATTTCCAGTTCCCTTCCACTTCTGGTTTCCCTCCCAGCTCTTGGTGTCCTGTGTGGTTGGCTTTTCCTTTTCCACCCTCTTCTCCAGCTGTGATCAGAGGGTCTGGCCCCAACCATCTTTTCTTCCTATTCCACCTTGTTCATGTCCTCAACCATGGGGCATCTCCAACCCACCTGCCCTCCAGCTCCACCCCTGCCTCCTTCCAAGCACCTGAGTGCCCAGGAACCTCCAAACCCAGAACACTGGCTCTTCTCCCAGCATCCTCTCTCCCTCACACTGCTCCCCCTGCTCAAGAGAGAAGCTCAGCAACTTCCTTCCCTCTTCCCTTAGCCGCATACCACACAACAGGCCCTCTTCCAACACCTCCATCACACACAGTGACCTCACCCTGCTCTCTCCTGTCACTCCACCTCCCATCTGACAACTTCAGAAGCTCCCTTGCTGCCTCTGCTGTCATTGCAGTCCCAAGCCATTCTAAAAACATAAACTAGCTTTGACGATGTTTTTACTTTAAACTTGTCAACAATGTTCCAGCTATGTAGAATCCACTCCAAGTTTCTTCCTATAGCTTCAGGATTTGCATAAGCCACACCCCATCTTGTCCTCTTTTAGACACTACTCTTTAGTCACACTGGCCCTCTCTTGCTTTCTTGAATATTCTTCCTGACCCCAGGGCTTTTGACCATTCCTTCGTTGGAATGCTGTCCTCTACTCTTCACATGACCAATGTCCTTCAATCCATGCCATCCATGAGATGTCACCACCAACTAACAAAAAGCCCCAGCCTCCTCCACCCCTTGTTTCTCCTCCACTCCCTATCCATTTGTTCGTTTTCAATCTCCTTTATTGAAATCTGGCTTCAGTGAGGGCAGGCTCCATGTCTGTGTGTGTCAGTGTCATAGCTGCAGTTGATCATGGAGTCCCACAACAGGGTAACTTGGAACAAAGCTGCCTAAGCAGCTCAGAACCTGTAGCAGGTGGCTCCCATTTGGGGAAAATGTGAACTCGGGTTGGTGAGACTTTGTGCCATGTTTGCTAAGTGTATGGAAGTAACTTTGCATAGACAGCTTTGGGCTCAGTTGGTTTCATCTTTCTGGATATATGAATGTTAATCTCTCTGGTAATGGGGCCACCATCCTGTGTCCAGTAACTCTCCAAGTGCTTTTTTGTATGCTTTCCCATGGAATCCCAACCCTACTCCATCAGTGCTGTCACTGTTTGGTATCCCAACCCTACCCCATGAGTACTGTCACCGTGTTTGTTCCCCAGTAGACTCCAGGGCTCACAGAGTTCTGTTTGCCCACCTGGATCACACAGCAACGCCAGGGCCTCTGGAGCGCTTATGTCTCACTGAGACTCTATCCAGAGGCACATCTGACCATCTAAACTGTACATGCCACCAGAACCTAGATGGTTTGAAAAGAGTTGAACATCTCAACGTACCTTGGTAGCCAGCTTCAGTAACTCAGTCTGAGACCAGTTACCTCATCCCTTAGGCCAAAGGGAAGCCAAGGCTGTTGAACCAGACCTGGCAGCCCCAGCCCAGGCCCAGGGCATATGGGCAGCTGCTACAGCAGCCACAGGGACATCCCAGGACACGCCCAGCCTTGGCCTGAGCATGTGTTCCTTGGGCTCTGGCCACCAGCAACTGAAGGGAACCAGTGTTGTTAAAGGGAAGTGGTTTGTTCTTGAGAAAGCTGAGTCAGCCCTTGAACTCTGGCTCTAAACAAAAGCATTGAGTAGCCCAGACAGGAAGCTTTTAGAACACACACAAGTTCTGGGTTCAGTACGTTAAGAGGGTAGCCTCCCAGGGGCCAGTAAACTGTGTCTGTTTCCAGAATCCATTTCTCAGTTTACCAAGAGGACAAATGGAAAGTGAAATTGGGGGCAGGCTTCTACCCCATCCCTACCCTTTCTGTTCAGACATGCTCCATTATTATGGCAGTGGTGGTGGTGATGACTGGGATAGTAATTATTGTGATGGTGATAATGATGGTGATTGTAATGATCGTGATGGTGATGCTGCTGCTACCTCTGACTGTATTGATGGCAGTGATGGTGATAGTAGTGATTACAATGGTGACATTGATTGTGATGATGGTGACAATGATGATGGTGATGATGGCAGTGATAATGATTACAGTGGTAAGTATGATGGTGATGAGCGTGATGGTGATGATTGTATGGCAATGATGATTATGTTATGGTAATGATTATAATGATGATCTTGATGGTAGTGACAGTGGTGATGATGTTGGCACTGTTTGTGGTGGTGATAGTGATGATTATGGTGGTAGTAAGGATGGTGATGGTTGTGTTGATGGTTGTGATAGTAATGGTTGTGGTGATGAGAGTGGTGGTGATGATAGTCATGACAAAGAGCTGTTTTCACAGAGAGCCAAGATAAGCTAGGTTTTATGGTCTTGGCTGTCTTTTGTATCACTAGTCCTATAGAATCATAGTCAGATGCATCACTCTGGTCTTAAGGCATAGACAGTATTACCAGCCCTACTTATACAAACAGTTCAGTCCCCCATCACCTCTTAGCTTTTTCGCCTCCACACAGTTGTTCATGTTGTACCGTCTGCTCAAGGAGAGCTGTCTCAGCGATCACCTAGCAGTTGTACCACCTGACAACATACCCACCTTATACCTCGTCCCCAAGCCCTGTCCCCCGTCCTGGAACCCTTCAGGGTCCCAACAATGACAGACTGCCTCCTTCTAGCCCTCTAGGTGACTCTCTGGCATCCGATGGTAGCTTTATACGAGACTGTGTGGGTTACAGTTATCTGCACATCTCTCCTGCCCCTGCTGGCTAAACAGGCCCAATGGGATAGAACCTCTTATACATTGGCTATAAGAATTCTGGACAGGGTGTTGAGGTCAGTAGATCAAAGACTCAGGCCCTGCTTTTTCTTCCCCATGGTTGTGAGGCCTAAGGCAGGTATTTGTCAAGTCTAAAGCTCACTTTCCATATACATAAAATGTTGTTGCAAAGACTTGAATAAACTCAATAGGGTGTGACTGGCAGCTCCCTTCCTCTGTTTTCTACCCACCGCTCCACTGCCCACATTTGTGCCCAGCTGTTGGTCTCTGAGACAGAGTTAAAAAAAAACTCACCCTCTTAGGCATTCCAGTTGGAAGAAACAGAAGGCACACACCTTCCACATGCTCTGTAGGCACAGAAAACGTAGGTCTGTATCTGGTATAGACACCAAGGGAGCCCTTCAGCCTGCTCACCTGAGAGACATGTGGCTTTGACCTCTAGCCCCTGTGAAGGAAAAGGCAGGTTCCTGTTGTGAGGCAGACTATCAAGCAGCATCCTTTGAGTGGACCAGCTTCACCTCACCCCAGTCAGCTTCCTTCTGTGTGGTGATAAAGACCTCTGGCTATTGATTGTTTAGTTTCCCCCAAAGGGTCTTGTCTGTCTGATACTCTGCAGAGTGGCTATGCCTGGTTTTCCCCAGGGGCAATGTGGGAGAAGGGAGCCACTTGGTTACTTCTGCTCTGTCCTGGGACAGCAGGCCTGGGACCAGCAGGCCATGGAGGTAGCTTGAGAGGTGTGCTTTAAGTGCTGCTCTGTGCCAGGAGCTGGGCTAGACTAGGCTAGGTGAGGCTCAGTGACTATGTCCCCAGGCTGCCTACAGTGTAGCAGAGACTACCAATTCCCACAGGGAGCAGGCCGCAAGTGTGGTAAAATTAGAAGTTAGACTTGGCCTGGCAGGACCTGCTCTAAGTCTGCAATCACACCCAGGGAGCCTGCAGACTTCAGCCCTAGGATCTGGGGCATGCACACCTGCAGAGAAAACTCCTGATCACTTTATCTTGTTGTAGGGGACAATCACAGCCAGGCCAGATTTGTCAGTCATTCTGTGCCTTCTCCTTCCCCAGTTTATGCCTCAGCGATGAGACCTGCATGTAGATGCTCCCTTCTGCATGTAGGCAGGTGTCTGTTTCCCTTTGTGAAAAAGGCCAAGCTGTCGCCAGAGCGACAAGCCTGTGACTTGTACATAAGATCTTGATTCCTGACCCCTCTTTGCCACCAAACTCAAATGATCTTGGGGGATTTAATTAATTTCTTTGTATCTTGATGTTGTCATCTGTAAATAGCAAAGCCACCTTTCCAAACTCCTGCTGAGATACACCACAAGGTGCCCATTTGAAGGTATGTTGGAAGCCATACTGCAATGTAAAAGTAGTGACAGATCAATACATACAAATAAATAATGCATACGAATTTATCATTTTATTTCATCTCCTTCCTGAAAATTTATTGAATCCATCTTACAATGTTAAACAGTTAAAAGTTTTTGTGAATTATGAAATAAGTCCATGATACACTGTAGCTATACATTCCAGTGAGACATTACTAGCATCCAGAGAATACTTCGAGAGTACTAGCACCCAACCCAAGAGTACCCTAGCAACCAAGGCAAAAAGAGAAATGCAGCTCTCATGGTGTATTTATAAGCTGGTTTATATCCATTCAATTACAGGTTCTGATACAAAGCAAGCATTGACTTGGTCTCTCAAACTGGAATGACAGGCTGACCCAAATGCAGTGCCCTCCCTGTTTCAAAAGGGAAACAGACAGAAGTGTGAACTTAGCTGCTCCCCATCACTTGACTGTCTCAGCCCCCCCTTACTGTTGTTAGCTGAAGCACCCCATTCTGAGGTCATGCTGGCCTTCCCAGCGAGTGACCACACTGGCCTGCCGGCTCCTCCCCTCCTGCTGACTTCCTTCTCCAAATGTTTTCACAGGTGGTTAAGCTGAAGGGCCAAGTGCTATCGGTCATGTATCGGTTCCGCACCAAGAACCGGGAGTGGCTGTTGATCCGCACCAGCAGCTTCACCTTCCAGAACCCTTACTCAGACGAGATCGAGTATGTCATCTGCACCAACACCAACGTCAAGTACGTGTGCAGATCCCCTCTGCCCGCTCTTCATGCACTGGTCATGGCCTGAGCCGCTTTGCTTGGGGCTCTCTTCTCCCCATAGGCCCCACCTGCAGCTGGAAACCCCCACAGGGTGAAGGAGCAAGAATAGGAGACACTGTGGCCCCTGTTGCTGTGGGGTGCAACCCTCACTTGTTACCCATTTTCCTCCCCAAAGGGCCAGATGCCCACCCTGTAGGACTCCCTTTTCTCCTGGTCAGGGTGCCACAGTCTGCATTCAGTTCTCCTCTTCCTGAGCACCAGGCCCAGCAAGGTGGAGCTCTGCCAGTGTCCATCTCTACATCCCAGTGTAGAGCTGCTGTGCCTGGTCTCCTGGTCCTGCTGAGGCTTGGGGTAGAGGAAGTGGACTAGACCTCTTGTAGCTCCGGGCAAGGTCAGGTTGCCTGGGTGGCACCAGCACCGACTAAACCTGGATGCATCCCTCCCTGCTCCCAGCCCAGATGCTAGGGCCTGGGAACCCTGCCGTCTGTGCATATTCTATATGCCATGGAGCTGGCAGGTGGACCTGAGCTTTCCTCTGGGCCCTGCTGTTTCCTAGCTGTTGGATCTTGAGCAAATCACTTTCTCTCTTAGCCTTCATTTCCTCTTCTGTGATACGGGCTGATATATATGCACTTGTATGTGTGCATGTGCATGTGTGTGCAAGCCAAAGATTGGCATCTGGTGTCTTTCTCAATTTTTTCCACCTTATTTTTTGAGATGGTGTCTCATTGACCCGGAGCTCATGATTTGGCTAGGCTGGCTATCCAACAAACCTTGAGGAGCCTCCTGACTCTGCTTCCCCGTTACCAGGATTACATGAGAGCTGCTGAGCCTGACCTGTTTACCGAGGAGGGGGGGGATCAAACTCAGATCGTCATGCTTTATGTACTGTGTCATCTCCCCAGCCCATGGCTCCTCCTGTCTGGGTTCAAGCTCAGATCTATGGGACAGACTCTGGGCCCACCACAGTGAGCGTCACTGTGGACAGGTTAAACCTCCTCGCCAGATCAAGTGTGGATAAAATATAGGTGGTGCCCCACTTCAGAAGCTTCCGTTTATAGTTTTTTTTTACTTTCCTGTGGTCTGAAAGTAGTGCACATTCCAGGAAAACCACACTTTAAGTCATGACTCTGCTTCCTTCCCTGGGCTAGCAGTGTGCCATAGGAAACTCCTGAGATGCTGGGATCAGCAAGCTTCAGCTCCCACTCAGCCACACAACCACCAGACAAAATAACCCACACTCTACGCTGCATTGCTAAGCTTGATGCAGTGTGTTAGGGAGACTAGGGCCTTTGTGACTTATGATGATACTGTCCACTTACACTGGGTTCATCAGGACATAACTCTGGCGTGAACTGAGGGGCATCTGTATGGAGAAAAGAACAAAAACATGGACGTAAGACGTCCCAGCAAGTACATGTAGAAGCCATGTCTGGGATGGAAGAGCAGCATGCTGGGTGTGGAATAAGGCTGGTATGTTGAGGACCATCATCCTGTCTACTGATCATGCTCACTGGACTCCCAGACCTCCATTTCCCCAGGTTCAATCAAGACTGGTCCTGAGCCCACTTCGTCCCCATCTGCTGATACCAGGGAATCCTTCCTAAGGCCTGATCTTGAAGGACCTGCCTTGTCAGTCCACCAGAGCGTCCCCTCCCTCGACTCTGCTGAGCCACTGCCACCATTAACCTCGTCTCAGCTCCTTGTAGCCTGGTTCTCACCAGCAGCAGCCAGCACCCTGCATGGGGCACAGGACTCCTGGTGCTTCTCCCCAGCTGCCTGCCTGACCAGCTCCTCCTCCTAGACATCTCCCTTGGTGTATTTGATACAACAGTTAGATCTTTCTTCCACCTTAGCCTGCTGGTCAAGACTATAATAGAGAGGGACAAGTATGAGAATTCATAGATCCAGATAAACAAAAAGGTGATGGTCTCTTTCTGTGTCTGAGTTTGAACTCAATCAAAGTGAGGGGATTTTGTTTGCCTCAATTACCCAATGTGGAGAAAGGAGGCTCTTTACTCAGGGACCAGAGAGGCATCCCTGAGTGCCACACACATGTCTGGACTGATGAAAGTAAAGAAGGCTGAGAAGTAGAAGTAGACAGACAGGACTCAGGAGGTCCTGACTGCTGCTGTGTTCAGGAGATGGGTAGGGTGTGAGGTTGGTGAGCAGGCCTCTCTCCAGTGCTCATAGGCTGGAGGTAACAGAGCCAGGTCCTCAGCAAGAGAGAGATAAGGGGGCAGTGCCAGCCTTGACCTGTGGAAGCTGCATCTCTGTCCCCAGAACCATATTTCCCATCATGGCCTTGTTCCTGATAATTCTGGCTGCCTGGACTGGAAGCCATGAGAACAGACAAGCATTCCAACCACTCAGAATCCTGGACAGTGTTCTAGAATCTTCCCCCTTTGGATGCCAACAAATTGGCTCCTTCTTAGTGAGAGCCACCCCTCTGGAGTTCCTGCCCTTTTTTCTTCCCTTCATCTGCTTTACTCCTTCTCCACATATGGCTGTACACACACACACACACACACACACACACACACACACACACACTCCAAAAAAAAAAAAAAAAAAAAAAACCCTGCACGATAGGGGCTCTGAGGCTTCCTGTTCCCCATGGATGGGGCTTTCTGGGCTTTTAGGGTGTCATATGTCCCTTGATCCCAAGCCTGAGTCCTGCTTGTCAGTGAAGCCATTTCTGTAGCCATTCCAAGCTACCCCCTCTGTAGTAACAGGCCTGAATCTTAGCTGAGACTGGCAGATTTAGAGATTTTGGTATAAAGAGCAGACTGAAGTTGCTTTGGGGAAGGTTTAGGCATTTTTTAACTTTTTCATCATTGTTCATTCATGTCCTGCCTTTGTCAAGCCTCAGCTATCAGTGTTGCATGTTTTGTTGAAACTAACACAGTAGATTTCCTGGTTCCCCCAGCACAGACATGGCCCATGCCAGCCAAGTGTATGCATTACAGTTCCTGCTATTAGGGGGAACCCTGTCTCAGGAAGCCTAAGGTTTGGACTCCTAAACCATGAAGAGCATGAGAGGGGGCAGACAGGAGACAGGGGACAGGGGACACAGACAAGAAGGGGGGAGCCGGTGCTGTAGGGCTTGGGGAGATACCCCAGGAGTCTGCCCTGCCATGGAGCCTGAAAGCAGTCACACACACACACACACACACACCCTCTGAGAGCCAGGCCTGGCTGACAGTTGGCTTTCTTGCCTGAAAGCCAGGCGGTGTTAACAAAACAGAGCAGCATTTTCTGCAGGGGTGTGCCTGCGTGCCACCTCAGGCCACTGACTCAGCAGCTCCTGGAGTGTGTGTGGATCAAAAAGCTCCTGGGACACCAGCAGCAGTTGCACCAACAAAGTTGGTGTCTTCTGAGCCAGATGTTCAGTCATAATGTGGTTGAAAAGCTCACTGTGGACAGTAGAGGGCAGTGGTGACCACACATGTAAATAGACCGGTCCCTTCTTAAATTTGTGAGGTCAGCTTTGCCAACAGTAAGCCAGCTTGTTAGGAAAGATCCTCCAATGCCCTGTGCTTGGAAGGAGGTGGGAGAGTCGTATGCTCAGTTGCTTTCAGCTAAGAGCATCCAAAAGAAACTTCCTGGAGAAGTCAAGTGAGCAATGAATGTTTAGTGTTTGTGCTAAGTTACTGAAAAGGCTCTTTGTCACCTCTGACTCCTTCCTGTTCTGTCCTCACAGAGGGAAGCCCACGAAAACATAGACTGATGCAACGCACTGTGTGTACATCTTTGAACCGTCCCAGTGTTTGGGGTCAAAGTATTTGGGGGCCAAAATTCTCAGAGATCTGACTGAGTGGACTGACTGAGTAGAGTCATGTCTGTGTTTTCACATTTGCCCAGGCTAGCTCCTGGGTTTTCATTTCCCACCTCTCTTCAGGGAGTGGCCTGCAGTCATGACTCTGTACCTGCATGGGCCCAGTCCCTGTTCCCAGGACAGCACTAGTCTAAGGTCATCTCAGGTTTCCATGACACAAGTGCCTGATGTGCAGGAGTATGCCCTATTTTTAGCCTCTAAGTTGAGCAGCTCATTGTCTCATGAAAGCAACATGGTTTCCCTACTTTAAATTTTGAAGCATCAGTCTCCATTGTCAAGGATTTGTTCTCCTCAAATGGAACAGAGTGGCAGAGGAGGAGGAGCCTGACAGAATAGGAGGAGCCAGGCACCTTGGAGTCAACCCTGTAGTCAGCAGAACACCTTTGACTTAACCCTAACCTGAGCTTCAGCTTCTTGATTTTCCATGTGTGGGTGAAGGAAGCATCGTGCAAAGCCAGTGTGAGGCATGAACAGGAAGACGCACACCTGCAGCAGCAGGTGCATGCCCCAAAGGCCAGCTGCTTTGCTCTGTAATAACCCAACTGCTTTCCTGAATTTTTTCCTTTAAAACAATTTTAGTATGGTATCTTTTTACCCTCCATAAAACAAAAGCATGCCTTAAAGCTTATTTTCTGAGCCAGGTGTGATGGCTAGCCCATGTCTGTCCTCCCAGCCCTAGGAAGGCTGAGGTAGGAGGACCAAAAGTTCCAGGCTAATATGGGCTAATGTAGCAAGACCCTGTCTCAGATTTTTTTTTTTTGAGGGCTGAGGATATGGCTTATTTGCTAAAGTGCTTATAGCACGAGTCTGAGAATCTGAGTTATGATCCCTAATATCCATGTAAAAAGCTGAGTGTGTGTCTGTACCCCTCGTGGTGCTGGGGTGGGGACAGGCAGCTCTCTGGAGTTCATTGGCAAGCCAGTCTAGCCAACTAGGAGCTCCAGGTTCAGTGAAGGACCTGTGTCAAAAAATAAGATGGAGGAGCTGGAGAGATGGCTCAGCAGTTAAGAGCACTGGCTGCTTTTCCAGAGGACCCAGGTTCTGTTCCAGCATCCACATGGCAGCTAAGAACTGTCTGCAACTCCAGTTCTGAGGGGTCTGACGTCCTCTTCTGGCCTCCATGGGCTTTGCATAACACAGGTGCACTTACATATATGCAGGCAAAAAAACACAATTAAAAATAATTAAATCCATTTTTTTTTTTACAAATAAGGTAGAGAGCAATTGAGGAAGACTCCTGATGCCAACCTCTGGCCTACACACACACACACACACACACACACACACACACACACACACAGCAGAATACTTTTTTCAATAGTTTTTTGTGGCAGTGTAAACTTTAAATATAACTTGGGTTTAAAAAAAAGTGGAAAACATTTTAGAGAGCTACTGAACACGGTTGCATGACTTTGAAGAACAAGTTCTCCATCAGCCACATCACTACTTTGCCTTTCTGTTCCTCACTCTGTTGGCTTCTTGCTTCACAGGCAACTTCAGCAACAGCAGGCAGAACTGGAAGTGCATCAGCGAGATGGGCTGTCATCCTATGATTTATCTCAGGTGAATTCTCGGAAATTCTTTTCATTTGGCACTGTCACCAACTACAGTACTAAGGACCAAACTCTCCCCAGAGCCCCCAAATCCCAAGGCTCCCTGTCCCATGTCCCTCCTCAGTGTGTCCCTTCCTGTCATGCTCTTGTCTCTCTCCTTCTCTAACCTCTTCCATGCCTCCCTCTTCTCTTCTCCTCTCTGCATCCTTGGTCATCAGAAAAACTGACTTGGTTCTGTATTTGACCTCATTCCTAAACTAAGCTTAAGGTTCTCTCTTTAGGTCTTGTTATTTACAGTACATTGGTTCTTTTCCATTTATCTCTGAGAAAGTGGTCACCATGGCTCTGAGATCCTTTCTGTCATGGCCTCTAGTTCATACCTCCCAACCTGGCTCTGCTGGATCTTCATAGCCAAGCTCCCCACCCTGTGGGAACTGCTGGCTCATTCATTGAGGGGCTGTGCAGAAGGACAGAAGGTGGGTCTAGAATATATGCCCTGTGCCTCATGTGAGAATTACAGTTGTGTTTCTATGTGCCAACAGGTCCCAGTCCCCAACCTACCTGCTGGTGTTCACGAGGCAGGGAAATCTGTGGAAAAGGCAGATGCAATCTTCTCCCAGGAGAGAGACCCCCGTTTTGCTGAGATGTTTGCAGGCATCAGTGCGTGTAAGTGTGCAGACGATGCTGGGGAGTGAGGTTGTGAGTTTTCAGTTGCTTTCAGGCCATCTGGAGACAGTCACCCTAGAGAGAGGGGAGGAGGTAAGTTTTGGGTAACTGCCAGTGGGCATAATAAGAACTTTGTACAGGAGTCAGGGTGGATTCTTCATATTCCTGGCCTTATGTCTTACTTCCTGATCACCTGTGACACACAGCCTGGGTCCCCAGCATCTCATCTTTAAAATATAAAGGGTCAAAGCAAATGAACTCTTCTAATCCATTACACAGTGTCTTATTCATTAGTCAGATGGTCATCACTCTAACAAAATACCTGAGAAAACAACTTATGTACAGAGAGGGTTTATTTTGGCTCTCAGAAGGTTTCCATCCCTACTTGACTGACTCTGTGTTTCTTGACCTGTCGTAAGGCAGAGCATCATGGCAGAAGATTGTAGAGGGCCAGAGCTTCTCACCTCATGGCCAACAGGAGATAGAGGAAGGAACCAGGGACAAGATACAGCCCCTAAGGGCATACCTCCAACCAGGCCCCACATTGCCTATTGAAATTTTGAATCCATTAATGGCTTAAACCATTGACTATGCCAGAGCCCTTGTGATCTCAGCAAACACCCTCACAGACACACCACACGCAGAGGTTAAACACCTCCCTACCATCTCAGTGCCATCAAGTTAACCTAACATTTCAGTCTACTCAAGTTGGCAGTCAAGGTAAACCATCATATGCAGTTTGAACCTTCATCTGTAACACACAAAGGGACACACTTAAGATGAAAATGTGCAATACTAAAGGAATAATCCATTATCTTAATGCTGTATATCATCGTTTAAACTTTTTTGAGTGTGCCCTGTCTTTTTTGCCATGGATATAGACTTTTCTGATGTGTAAAGTGGAGCTCGTCCTCTTGGCTAGATTGTTCTTTTCCATGACAATTTATCATGAGCAGATTTCCCCATTGTTAGACAAGTGAAAGCACTTTTGTCATCAGTATATGTTTCCCCTTTGAGCATGACCACAGCTCCCTAGGTGCCATCCTTCACAGCAGGTGCCCAGCCACATCAGCACAGTGATGAGTTCTTGTGTGGAGCCAGTATGCCCAGCAGCCTCACTTTCCCTCCCACATCTCCACTGTAGTTAGCAAACCATAAAATTCAGAAAGACTTTACCAAATCCAAAATTCAGAAAAAAGATTCTGTTTCTTTCTGTTTTTGCATGCTCTAGGAATTATGATGTTGTCGGGGTTAGGTGAAAGGAAAAGGCAGCATGGGGAACCCTGGTATCAGACAGAACCCTGGGATGCTCCACTAGGACAACAAGCTGAAGACAGCTTGACTTGGGGAGAACACACTAACTTCTGCATGGGTGGAAAAGAGCATTCCTCAGGCGTCTTAATACCAGCCCATTGGTAGGGGACCAAAACCTTCAGCTTCTTTTGACTGTGGCCTGTAGGGTCAGGAAGTCAGCATAGTGCCAGGCCACAGCTACTTCTGTTGAGAACAAAGTACAGTCGCCAAAGCACAATGGGAAACAGACCCCTCGGCACCTCAGGGAAGCATCCTGCAGTCGGTCCCCCTGGTCACCCAAATATACTGATGTGTCACTTCATCCATCAAGAGGAGACAGAGAGGCAATGAGAGTGGCCGGAGAAGATGTCCTTGTTTGGAAGTGAATATTGAGAGAAAGAGGAGAAAGTTGAGAAAATCACTAATGTCTGTCCTCTGGGGATTCCAGAAGAAGGCATTGCCATCAGAGAAGGCACTACCTGACGGGGGAGAGCGCACTACCTGAGGGGGGAGAATGCACTACCTGAGGGGGAGAGCAGAGCAGCAAACAAAGTGGAATCAGGCCAACACAGAACATGTACGATCTGTGTTGGGGAATTTTCCCCAAGTGCAAAATTGAATCTTCTAACTACAATACCAGAATTTCAGACTCTCTATGCCATCCATGAAGGCCAGACTAAACATATTAGAAAAACTTATACCTAAATGTTGTCTATTGTGTTCACATTTCTAAGACAAAAACAAAGGCAAAAATCCAGCAAACATCAGTGTTATGGTTTCAATGTGAAATGCCCCCACATAGGCTCATGCATTTGAACATTTAGTCCTCAGCTGGTGGTACTGTTTTAGAAAGTTATGGATTCTCTGACACATTGACCTAACGGCAGGGCTCTATGGATATAGGCTGCCTCTACGCTGGTTCTGCTTCACTCTTTTCTGATCCACTGAGATGTGAGCAAGCTGCCTAACACTTCTGCCACCACAGACTGGAGCCACTTTACCACCATGAATACCACCATGCCTTCCTTGACCATCACATTGTGAGCCAAATTAAGCCCTTCCTCCCCTAAGTTGGACCTGTCAGGTATTTGGTTACAACCATGAGAAAAGTAATTTACCACATTTAGGAGGAAGAAAATTAGTATAAAGGGAAATTGTTAGCTAAAGTCTCCAAGTTACTAAATGTTAGAACTCTGGGGGTCGGGGACAGTCAGTGAATTCAGAGAGAAAATGTGCAACACAAAATTTCCCCTCTAGCCAAAATGCTTTCATATATAGAAACACATCACTTGCAAAAGGCTCCACTGTTTCTGAAAAGAATCAAAATATAAAACACAAGAGTGAAAGTGACAGGTTAGAAAAGCCATGGTGACCAGAAATAAAATTACTAACACCTGGTCAAAATTAACATACAAATTGCTAGAATTCAAAAGAAAGACAAAAACAAGCGACTCAAATCAATTCAGAAAAAATCCAGATACATTTTGGGCTGGGGATAGGGAACATAAATTTTCTTATCAATATTGGCAGGCGTCTTTACAGGAACAAAACCTAGAAGAGTGTGAGTATGTACACATGTATATATGTATACATAAATACATAAAAAATATCACACATACACATACATATAAAGGAGTGTTTTAGATTAACTTACACTGTAGGGCCTGGGTAGTCCAGCACTGGGCATCTGCATGCTGGAGAGCAGAGAGCCCGATAGCTATTCACCCTCAAAGGAGGGTACCTCAGCAGTCAGTCCAATCCAGCACTGAAAGCCTGGAAGCTCCCTAGAGATTCATTGGTATTGAGTCCATCTTGGAAAGCCAGTGAAGCTGGAGTTTCATGTCAGCAGAGGTTGGCAACAGCAGCAGTAGACACAATAGCTCAGGAAGAGGAAATGAAGTAGGACAGTGCTGGATGGGCCTGCTGGAGCTCATCTATGTGAACAGAACAGCCACTATGCACTCTCCCTCTCTAGCATGCAGGTAACCATTGTTGGACTCCCCAGCCTGCTGTGGAAGCCAAGCTAATAAGTCTACTTTTGTAATGTATATACATCCTCTAGAGAAGCCTGCCCAATGCAGGTTTGAGTACTAGAAATGGCCTGTAGGCTCATCCTCATAGAATTCATTAATATCACCATGTTCCCCACCATCCTGAAGGAGCTAGTTTGATAAAACAGTGGTCTACTGAAGACTAAGTTATATACAGCTCCAGCTAGGTGCAATTAGGTGACAATAGCTTGAAGGGCTTGAGCGAGGCTCTTTAGAAGACTGTATATTCTCAGAGTCAGTGTCCAGTTTATGGCACCATTGTTATTTCCACACTTGATTCCTGGGTCTGTGAATCCTGGCTAGAGGAGGAACAATACCTTGTGGGAGGGACACAGACACACACACACACACACACACACACACACACACACACACACGATTGGGCTTGAGCAGATAGTGAAGGCTCAAGTAAGTTACTCAAAGTGGACCACATGCCTTTGGCTCCTACCCCTGGTATAATAGCTTTCTGTCCCTGGACATGCCCCTGTGGCCTCAAGGCATGTACCCTATGACTGAGGCACAGAAGGCTATGGCCTAATTTACAGGTAGTTCTGCTTTCTGTACAGACACCACCGAGAAATGGACATCCGCAGCATTGCAGCTCTTTTCTGAAACAACCCTGAGGACAGTGGTAAAAAGAAACCTTCACAGTGGGCAGGACTCCAGGCAGTACAGTTGGTCATACATTTTACTTAGAAGGAAAAATGGCCAGATGTGTAATTATACACTGATTCATGAGATGTAGCCACTGATTTGGCTGGATAGTCAGACTTAGAAGGCGCATGACTGGTAAATTGGTAAAAAACAAAAAACAAAACAAAACAAAAACACTAGGGGACAGATATCTCCAAATGGGCAAAAGATGTAAAGATACTTGTGTTCCAGGTAATGCTCAACCAAAAGATGACCTTAGCATAGAAGGCCTTCACTAAGTCAAGTTGATGAGATGACCCTCTCTGTGGATAGTGGTGAACCTCTTTCTCTAGCCATCCTTCTTATTATCCAGTGGTTCCATGAACAGAGTGGCCATCCTAGACTCAGCAACATGGACTTCCAAACACCAAAGCTGACTAAGCTAAGCCACTGTTGAGTGCCCAGTCTACCAGCAGCAGAGACCAACACTGAGCCACTAATGTGGAACCATTCCCTAGGTAGCCAACCTGGTGGCAGGTTCATTACATTGGATCCCTTTTATCATGGAAAAGCCAGAGCTTTGTCCTTACTGGAACAGATATTTATTCTGGAAATTGATTTGCTTTCTTGAACACAGGCTTCTGCCAAAACTAACATCCATGGGCTAACAGAATGCCTTATCAAATGCCATGGTATTCCATACAGCATTGCTTCTGACCAGGGAACTCACCTCACAGCCAAAGAAGTTAGAACAGTGGGCTAGTGCGCATGGAATTCACTGATCTTGCCATGTGCCCCACCATGCTGAAGAAACTGGCTTGGTAGAACAGTACAATGTCCTTTTGGAGACTCACAGTGCCAACTAGATGGCAGTCGCTTGCAGTGCTGTGGCAGGGTTTTCCTGAAGGCAGGGTATGCTCTGAATCATTGCCCAACATAACTATATAGTATCTCTGACAGTTATGAAGAAATAAAAGGCTGCAAGTATGTTTAAACATAACTAAAATGGAATTATTTTAGGATGAAAGAATAAAATCTTGCTACCAAACTACTTCCAAGGGAATTTTTAGCAAATCACAAAAATTTCAGAAGAAAAGCAAAGTAACATAGCAAGAAAATATATAAATATCGGGTGATAAATCAAGTTGATATTCAAGGGCTTCAGATAGGTAACTCCTATATATGCTGTCAAAATATAATATAATCAAAACAAAATGTGATGAGCTGTCAAGCCTGCAGGGGCAAGTGCTAAAGGTGCTCGGCAAAATCAAACAGGAAAGTAGAGTCACAGTATCAGCAGAGGAAAATTTCAGAACGTCCCTATGGGCAGAGAGAAGACAGAACTGAGATGAGGCTACATGACCGAAACACAGAAAACCCGAACAATCACAAACACTGGAAGAAACTCATAAAGCCAAATTGTAAGTGGACAAACTCACCATGACTTTCTTCATCTTTAACAAATCAGGTCGATCAAAATGATAAAACAGAGAAAGATTTAGAGTACTAAATAGAAGAAGACAGGAAATATAAAATATACATTATAGTATGCATACACATATATACATATACATATATATACATATATATACCTATTATGTATAGATACTGTACCTTACCAATGTCTTGGAACAATTAGAAAAACAATGTGTTTATTATTTACCACCAAAACACTGAAAACACATGAGAAAAAAAGTGACTTGCATAAGGTTGTGTTTTTTGTTGTGGAGGTTCATTTGTCTCCCTCTTCTGTGGTTTGTTTGTTTTGTGTTATCCTGGGGGTTGAACATGCTAGGTAAATGCTCTGCTACTAAGCTACATACAATTCCAGGCTTCAGGAATTAGGTTTAGAGATAAGAAGATGGCCTGAGTCTACCTTACCCTGTAAGTTTAACCTTATCTCTGCCCTACTCCGATCTTGCTCTTTATGCCCCAGTTTCAAGGCCTTGTGGTTAAATAGGAGACATATACCCAGGAGCCTGAGCACCTGGTCTTAAGGATATCCCACAGCAGCACTGTGGCATTTGCATTAGAACCCCACAAAGATGGTCTCCCAGCCCCAGCCTGAGCATCAGCAGCCCATTACTGCTCATAGATACCCCACAAGCAAGGGTCAGAAAGTACATATATCTACAAAGTCACTGCCATGTAACCAGCTGTTATTTCCTTCTAGTGTCTCATGGGCAATTGTAAGAAAGAGATATGTAGGTGTCCCGAGATTCTGGGCCACAGGCAATGCATCATGAAGCCAGAGAGGTGCGCTCTGGTTGAAGCATGCTGTCTAGAGGTTGTGTCCATTCATTCACATCCCACTCCCACATCTCACACTACGACCAAGAGCACCCTCTTCTTTGTGTGATATCGAGACAGCCAGCCTGTGACTCGAGTCCGTTCCTCAGTCTCATTGCAGGTGACATGAATGAGGAGAATCTTCTCACCTTTTCATAGAACAGTGGCTCTGGTGATCATTTCTAGCCTGGGCCCGAGTGTTTCCTGTTTCACAAAAGCTCAGTCTGAAACTCTGATAGAAAGCCCCAATGCCATCCAGCTGCCCTGGCCAATCAGCCTAAGGTGCCCCATAGGTCCTGTCAACCAGGTCAGGGGAGGGTCATTGCACTAGGATTTAGGGCCTGGGTCTTCCCTTCCTGCCCTGTGACCAGGGACAAGCAGTGCTTCAGTTTTCTCTCTGTAACAAGTAAAAGTAAATGTGTAGGTGCTGTTTGGTCTCAGTAGGCAGTTTACCTTTAGTAACACACTGAGTCCCCACCAGAGCCCTGTGAGGAGGAAGACTGCAGTTATCAACTGAGGCAGGAGAGGGTCCAAAGCCTATCCCAGATGATACCTGTAATACAAAAAACAGATTTGGGGTCCAAGGCCAGGAAGCTGAGGGTCACAGTGGGCCCCCATCTCTGTTACTCTGGCATCCTCACTTACTTGCAGATGACCTGTTGTATACTCCCTTAAGGGGCTGGAAGGATTGGATACAATAATGTCCTCCCCACTCTCAAGGGCTTGCCTTCAGGTAACTGAGGCCACCCTAGGAGTAGGGAACAACTGACTGGTGCTCCTGCACGTCAAGGAGCCCCTGAGAGGACACATACAGAGGTGAAGGCAAGGAGACTGCCCCATGTAGGTCTTCCAAGTTCCCATGCCCTGCCTCTGTTCTGGAGTAGCCCCCATGGCCTGCAGAACAAGGGGGACCTTCACATGATGTGACTCCTCTGGTTTTCCTAGCGGAAAAGAAGATGATGAGCTCAGCCTCTGCAGCAGGCACCCAGCAGATCTACTCCCAAGGAAGTCCATTCCCTGCTGGGCACTCAGGCAAGGCGTTCAGGTAGGTGCCAGGAAGAGGAGTGGTGGAAAGAGGCTCAAGTCTGAGCATCAGCTCTGTGAGCTGAACAGGAGAGAGCTGTTCTGTACTGTGGGATGGGGACTCTGGACCGCTGGCTCTGTTCCATCAGCCTTCCATAGACACTGGGTGTCTGTGACTCTCAGGTGCCAAAGGTATCAATCTCCGTGTTCTACAGTGGCTCCTGCTGGGGAGAAGGGAGTGACTTGGTCTCTAACCGAGATCCGGGTTGTGCCCAGCTGGCAAAGTAGCTGAAACTGCCCTATTCCCTAATTTACCAAGGCCACGGCCACATGCAAAGAAGAGAAAACTTGGCCCATCGTGTCTGGTCCTCAGCATGAAGAGCCACACTTAAGTGTACAGCAAGGTGCCTGGCTATTAGCATCAGAGCATGCTGTAGCTCACTATGAAGCTTTGTGTCACCACTGAGGACCAGGCCTTGCTCACGTTTCCTCTGGGAAATGCAAGCATGAACACTGGAGAGTGGTCAAAGGAGAGGCCAGCTACCCTTAGAGTAGGTGTCCTTGTGTGTCACACCAGACACCCCCAAGCTCCCTAGAAGCTTCGTTTACCCCAGGTCCAGCAAGGTGGTGCTCCTCCTGTAGCCCAGCCTCTGGTTCGCTGGAGCGGGTCTTCTGGGAGGGGCCAGGACTAGGCAGGTGAGTCCAGCACCCAGGAACTACACTGGCCATAAGGGGAAAGGAATCTTCCTTCCTTGCTGCTCCAAGGAAAGACTTCCTACAACCACAGAAGGTGTGACCAGAGGACCAAGGAAAGGCTGGCATTTTGTTCCAAGAAGCCCAAAGTTACAGCTGTCCCTCATCAACCTATGTCCTGTAGGCTGAAGCACATGCTGAAGAGATCCCACAAGGATTAAGGACCAGAAAATGTCCTCTGGAAGAGGAGAGTAGAGGGGTAATATGACCAAAGTATGTGATAGGTATATATAACAGTGCTCAGTGAAAACTGTTGCTCTGGAAATAGACATGGTAGCTGACATCTGAAACCTCAGCACTCAGGAGTCTGAGGCAGGAAGAATGTCCAGAGTTCAAGATCAGGCTGGGCATCTTAGTGACCAGCAAGGGAAACATATCAAGACTCTGTCCCCATAAAGAAAAGAAAAAGATCATTACTTTGTATAATTAATAATAGCTGATTTTTTTTTGGTCTTTTTGAGACAGGGTCTCCCTGTAGTCCCAGCTGACCTGAACTCACTATGTAGACCAGGCTGGCCTTGAACTCACAGCGATCTGCCTGCCTCTGCCTCCTGAGTGCTGGGACTAAAGGTGTGCACTGATTTTTTTTTTTAAAAAAAGAAACCAAATGAAAAAATTTTTAAATGTCTTCTGAATTGAAGCATTCATTTGGAGAGAAAGTGGGAAAGGAACCCATGTGTTAAGTGAGGAATTAACTTAGGAAATAGATATAATGTCTGAACAACTGAGCTGGCTTTACAGTTTGCAAGGTATCAGAGGACACAGAAAAAAGTTTAGAATACAATTAGTAAAATTGTAGTCTGTAACCTCTTTTTTCAAAACCCAGATGAACCCCTAACTCTACCAAACACCTGCTAAAATTAGACACAGTCCACCTGACTCGATGCATTCACAGGCCCCAACACCTGCCACAACCCTGAGATAGACCCAGGGGGATAGAAGGCCAGAAGATGCACAAAAGTCTTCCCCAAACTTTCCATCTTCAGTGGACGTACAGTCAGCACAGCCTGCAAAGCCTCCTGGAAGGACCTCGTATTACAGTGAGGACGGTGTCAAAGATCATTTTCATTGGAGACACAGACAGCACTGAATATTGTCATGCACACTGAAGGTGCCTAATAAGGGCTCACTGAGCTAATTAATCTAAAGGCAGAAATAAATGACAGTCTTGTGCACGAATGAGCCTCTTGAAGCAGACTTCCATCCCAGGCTTGTTCCAGTGTTGAAACTAAGTACAGCCTGCAGCCTCTTCCAGACTCTGTAAGCTTTCTAGATGCCCCAAAGGGATAAATTAACCAAAGCAGGAAGAGCAGATATCCCTGAGACTGATTTGTATTCTGAGACAGGTGTCTCATCTTGGAACAAAATCTTCTCTCAAGAGCTGTGGATATGCAGGGAGAGAAGGGGCTGGGCAAGGGTGAGAGCTATGAGATCCTGGGGGAGAATGAGGCTGAGAATAGAAGCTCACAAGGCAGGACCCCTGACAGTGTACAAGGAGGGAGAGCACAAGGAGGCAAGCCAGCACCGGCTGCCAACAGAGGCTCATGAAGGAAGGACATTTCCCGGAAATAAATGCATTTTTTTTTCTCCTAGCTCTTCTGTGGTCCATGTTCCTGGAGTGAACGACATTCAGTCCTCCTCCTCAACAGGCCAGAACATGTCCCAGATCTCCCGGCAGCTGAACCAGGGTCAGGTGGCATGGACAGGGAGCCGTCCACCCTTCCCAGGGCAGGTATGAGTAACTATGAGGCTCTGGGTGTCCAGAGTGGCAGAACACCCACCACATGCTTCTTTGGGTCCCAGCTCTGAGGGTAGGTTAGTACTCCCAGCTTGAACAGCCAGTGCCTCAGGAGCACCTGCCATCCACAGGGCACTTTGAGAGCTGAGTCCCCAGCAGCTATACCATGTTTGTCTGATCAACCCTTTTCTTCTTGCAAACTCCCCCTGGGAAGAGAGCAAGAAGGTGTTGGACTCCCAAAACTGCTCCAGCAACAAGCCCACATCACTCCTCATCACTCAGACCTCTGGTGGCTTCTATGCCAGGAAGGCCTATAAATACCCAACTATGAGACACACCTGGTTCCCTCCAAGGTGAAGGGAGGACAAATGTTACTCATTTCCATAAGAGGTTTCCATAAGCTGAAGCCAACCCAAGCCATTATAGCCCTGGGGGTACTTTAACCAACCCCATCCCAAGGTTCCAAGGCCAAGACTTTGGCTGCCATACACTGGACTCATCCCAGGCCTGTGCCCAGCCTCCAGTCAGGGAAGCCAGAGCCTGCTGTTCCTGAAGGGGACTTCAGGGGTGGGGCTTGGTGGAAGACTGCCTGGTCCTGCCTCCTTCAGTCCTGACTGTAGCAAATCCCACTGCAGCCCAGCAAGACACAGTCATCTGCCTTCGGGATTGGATCAAGCCACCCCTATTCGGCTGACCCTTCTTCCTACAGTCCTCTCTCCAGCCCAGCTGCCTCCTCGCCTAGTGGAAACGCCTACCCTAGTCTTACCAACAGGACTCCAGGGTTCGGTAGGTGGGGAACATGGAAAAGAATTCCCATTCTGAGTATCCTGTGTCTGTCCAGGGATTGAGCCCCAAGCTCCCAGGAGCTCCCAAAATATCCCAGCACCTCTCCTCTCTGGCTACAACCAAGAAAGCCCCAGATGTCCTAAGCCATGGAGTTTCATATACCTTGATCTGGTAATTCAGTCTTGCCATTTTCAAGGCACAAGCACTAGTTCCTGTTTCGGAACAGGATCTAAATACTAATTTAAGGCTACGTGGCCCTGAGCAGGAATTTTCAGGTTCCCAAAGTGAAAAAAAAAAAAATTATGGCCTCCTTTAAGAAAACAAGAGAACGCTAGGGTTGGTTGGCTGTGTTAGTGAAACCAGAAAGCTCTCTTTCTGGATATTACTAGGTGTCTTTGCTATTTTTCTTGTTGCTGTGAAAATTCCTGACAAGTGTAATTTAAGGAGGAATGGTTTATTTTGCCTCACAATTTGAGGGTACAAGGGAAGGCACGGTGGCAGGAAAGAGCAGCAAATGGTCACTCTGTGTCTGCAGTCAGGAAGCAGAGAGATGAATGAGGGTGCTCAGCTTCCTGTCACCCTTTTAATCAGTGTAGAACCCCAGCCCGTGGGATAGTGCCCCTTACCCCTAGGTAGGGTGAGTCTTCCCAACTCAATTAACCTAACCTAGAAACTCCCTCACAGACATACCTAGAGGTTTGGCTCCTAGGTGACTCTGTTAAGCTAATAATAGCCATCACAATAGGGAATCCCACCTTGTATGGATGTCTTCCTTGCTCAGCTGAGAAAGGCTCAGGTCATCAGTATCTTGTGGCTGTGGCTGTACCTTCCACTGAGTCTCAGGAGCTTCTGTCAGTTGCTGTTTGTGTATTTAACAAGTGCCCAGCATCTATCCCAGGGTCATATTCCACAAGGGGTAGGGATCCTGTCCAATCCCTTGCAGGGCTGTCACTGAATGACATCCAAGAGCAAGGCACCCAGGGCTCTTCTCTGCAGACCCATCATCCTCAGGTGAGCAGGAAGCTGAGCCCAAATCTCCAAATTCACTTGTCAAGTTAAAGGCTTCCGTTTAGGTGACTTACCTGTCAGCCTTATGGGAAAGTACAATTTATCAGCTGCCCCCACTGCTCTCTACCTCCACCACTGACAGCAACACTTCTTCCTCAGAGCACAAGGTCTTGGTCATAGCATTTCCCATACCCAAGTTTGTCTGTCTCTTCCCCTTTGAGTAGCTATTGCCCAAGCACAAGCCCCATTTATGAGTAGCTTGTTTAAATGTCATTGCCTTGTGATTCAGGGACACTTGTATGAGAAGCACAAAACCCCTCAGCCTGGTGTTCTGGGTCAGTCAGGCCCTCAGTACTGTTGTAAGCTGAGCTTGAGCTCCCTGGTTCCCAGAGACTACCCCTCCCTGGGAACTGGTCACACTCTTCATCTGGGGACAATGGCTAAAGAGACCCCTTTACCTCCTTCTGAAGAGCCTTTGCAGACTTGAGTCATGGGATTACCAAGATCTTTCTGGAAGCAAAGTGATCCTACTTGCCCTGACTGTGATTCAGCCACTGTTTGTGAGTTCCAGGCCCAGTGCCAACATGGGAGACAAGTAGGAGACCGTGCTGACCCCAAGAAGGGTATGGGCTGGAGGCAGAGACAGAGGAGACAGACAGAGGTAGAGGAACCAGACAGGTAAAAGGGAGACAGGAAGGTATGCCACAGGCCCAGCATCCAGCTCTTCATGGAGGTCCTGGTAGGGGACCAGGAAGACAGCCACTTGTTTGACAGGGCCAGGAAAATTTTCAAGGGAGAGCTTGCATGTGTCCCTGGGAGGACCTGGGATATGACAAGACAATTGAGCAGGCTCCTCCCTGACCCCACAGTTCAGTGCCTTTAGCATTGTGCATCTGGCCAGTTTACATAAAGTAGCAGCCAGGTCCTGAAAAGTAAATGGAGATAGGACCCAGGAGGCACAGTGCCCTGGACCGAGGCCACTGGCCAGCTCTGATGGCCAATAGCAGGGTCACACACTGGGGCTCCTGAATCAGCCACAAATCCTGCTACATGGCATCAGATGATGGTTATGCCAGCTCTGGTCATTACCAGTGCTCACTGAATACTGGACAGGAGGCTTCTGTTGGGCATTTCACATGTTTAAATTCACTTAAGGAGAGAGGTTATTGTTACTCTCATTCAGGTGAAAGAACAGAGCCTGGCAGCTCATTAGTGGAGCCCAGAAGGAAACAAGGCTGTGCCCCTTCTCCACTGCCCTGTGCTTCCTATCCTTTTTAACCCACTCCTCAGAGGGGTAGAAACAAGCTAAAACGGGACATCTGGCAGATCTCCTTAGATTTTTGATATTGAGAAAGGGGTGGGAACCGCTCCAGGGAAGATATGGAAGCTACTCTAAAGCTGACTGAGGATTGAGAACTATGGGGTGACCCTACCCTCAAGGCATCATACAGTGACTCCAACAGAAGCTGATATTGTGGGATGGGGAGCAAGGGCATGTTAGGGAGTCTGGCTGTGGGGGTGAGCTGGTGAGGACATGGAAACAGAGCTGAGGAGCTGAGGAGGAGAGAGGGAAGGGGCCCAACTGGAATGGGAATATGCCAGCATCCCAGGCAACAGAGTCCTACAAAGTTGTGGAAATCTACATCCCATGGAGAATGCTGTCTGGGGAAGGTGGCCATGGGCCCCTGCTGACCATGGTCTTAGCCTCTGCCGAACATGGTCTTAGCCTCTGCCTTCTAGAACTTCGAGAAGTTGAGTCCAGGTTGGGGAGGGGCAACCTTGGACAAGGTCATGGGAGAATGTATAGTTAGGAAGAGGACCTGGGGGGAGGGGCTACTATAAACCTCAGGAAGAAAGTAGAGGAAGAGCAGAGCAGTCACCATTAATGGTCAGCTTCATCAATTATTAAATAAACATGAAACAGTTAAAGTAGGCAGTGAGGTGTGCATAACTGCAGTGAACAACCATCTTAGTCTTGCCTGTGAACATCCTACATGCCAGACAGACACAGCCTAGAGGCTCGTAGATAGGACTGACAGCCATGTTTACATAGTTACGGGATTTAGGGTTCCTTTTTGTTTTATTGTTTTTTCTTTCTTTCTTTGCTAGTCCATGAAGGACATCTGTGCCAAAGGTGCTTTAGACCATTTCCCTTGATTCCTACAAAATAGGTCCAAGCAGTAGTGGTAGTATTATAGTTTTAAATTTTAATCCTTTGGCCAGACTTTGCCTTTGCATAGTCTGTATTGGGGCCAGATGGCATTACAGAGCGAGCCCCCCTCATTCTTTTTTTAGCTGCACAGGATTAACCTTATTTTAACTCTTAAGGCTGCATCATAGTGTGTAGTCCAAAGAAACTAATGGCAAATTTCTCATGATGGTTCTAAGGAAAGATGGACAAGAGCTTCTGTCCCCCTTGCCCACTCAGAGTGCTCAAAGGGACCAGACAGTTAGAGTACCCTCCTTCCCATTCTCTGACACCACCCCACCCCAATCCTTGGCTATATCTAAGCATAGCTCCCAAAAGAACCAGAAACACTGATTTGTGTCCCAAATATTTTGAGGCTTAACTTTTCCCCTGCCTGATTAAAACTCATGATCCATGTTGTGTCTCTTGGGGTTAAGTCCTGAAATGTTGAATGCAAGTTGCAGCCAATGAGCATCTCTTGAGTATTTCTTTTACCTTAGTGGAATAAGTCCTCTTTCCTAAGAAGATGAGGTATGTGTAGGGGGGCGGGGGAACTGACTAGTAGGCAAGTAGATTCAGAGAAGAGTTGCTTACAGGAATGGCTTTGGCTTTTTTGTTTTAAATTGCTGTTCAGGTTAAAAGTGTGAACAGGCAGGAGATTTTTACTTTGGATGTAATATTTAAGGGACGTTCTTTTGGCCTGAGGAATTATCTCCATATCCAGGGGCATAGGGCTACCTACAGTAAATGAACAGGGAGGAGTTGAGAGCATAGCATATGATGGTAGAAAAGTGGAGAGCACAGACCTCTTGAGACGAGAAAGAACACTGTCCCAGCCTGGTTTACATTTCATTTTCAAGCTATGTGCTCAAGCATTTAGTTTTTAGACAGAGGCTGCGTCACTGCTCATATCTCATTCTTTAATCTCAAGGCCTGTTTGGATGGGGTCCTAGATTTCAAACCCCTGTCCTTACTGAAGATTGTTGCTATAGAGGCAAACAGTATAAGCTTGGAGATACCAGGAAAAATCAGAATTCAAAGATGGTGGGCATTAACACTCTGTAAGGAATGGAGTCCATATTTGCCTCATATCCATCCCTCTCACCCCC